TAACCACAGGCTATCAATTTAGTAGTTTTGGTTTTAAAACTTCTCTCTCGAGCAGGCTAAAATACTGAGATGAAATCGTATTTGCAACTACAATCCCATTTAGTTAAAACACAACTACTAAATGAAATCACATTTAAACAGCAAATAGACTAACAATGAGCAATACCCAACAGTAAATTTAACCCATATTCACATAATCACACCCCAAGAATTGGGGTTTTAGCTTGACATGATAAAGAGATAGAAATCGATACCAAAAAGTGCACCCATGAAATGGGTACGATAAATAATCTCTTTAAACACGTCTAATATGAAGATTCTTTGATGCCCACTTCCAATCTCTTGGAGATGAAAACCTTCAATGCTCAAGAACAATGTCTCCCAAAAACTCTAAGAACTCAAACTGAAAATATTCTAAATAATTAGTAATAATTTGCTACAACTTGATACTAAGCTACAGAATTAAATGGGTATTTATAATTTTCAAAAATTTGTGCTGCGAAGAACCACTTGGCGCAGTTAGTCGGGATCGCCGATGCACTCGGTGATCAGGCCTTTGGTCTGGTGCATCGCCTTTCTGCTTATTCCTTCAGCATCTTTGTGTTTTGAATCATTGGGTGATATGGTGCTGCTTTGCGGAACTATTCGGCGATGCGCCGACTGCTACCTTTCATCGCCAACTTGATATTTTCCTTCAAGACTTAACACACTGGAACATTGGGCGAGACTAAGGCAATTTGGCGACTCGCCCAATGGTTTAGGCGATCCTCAGGCCTTATTTTCTTCGCCCTTTCGGCTGCCTTGTTCCTTTTTGCTCCATAGTGTCCATGCTTTGTTCCTAAGTTCAAATACCTGAAATTCAAGTATTTAAAATATGCATTTGAGGACACTAAATCCATTAAAATAAAGCCCTAAAAGAGTCCAAATTGTGGACTCATTAGCCGCATTCATGGAACCCAATCAGTGTGGTGGTAGCATTCGTGAAGGCCAACTGCGGTTGTGGAGCCTGCATTTGCTGGGTTTCCTTTCAACGATCGTGGGATCTGACTTTGTTTTGGCCGCGATCACAGGGCCTTCGTGGGCCGCTATCATGTTCACGAAGAAGGGATCAGAGTAGTCTTTATTTAAAGACCAGTTGCATTTTCATGTTGGAATCCAAATTTCAAAAAGCAATTTTTCCTCCGATATAGCTTGAAATTGGGTGATTCGAAGTCTTGTGCATCCAAAATTGCCAAGGCTACGCTGCGGATTGATCCAAAGTCATTGGTGAACCTCAATTTGAGGGGAATTTCTGTTTAAGTTGGTTGTCCTAGTTCCTTAATTGTGCTTTAAATGTACATTTTACACATGGGTTGTTTCTCGCTGTTCTGAACCCCAAATCGTTTTCCATTTCCATTTTGGAAAACAAGTTTTGGGGTACTATCTCGGACCTTTAGACGAAATCAACTCTGAAAATTTTGGTGCGGGTCCCATGATTCGTGTTTGACTTTGACACTGGTCCTTTCTGTTATATGTGTTTTTGGTGTCTAAAAGTATGATAGCGTTGTGATCCTATTTTTGAAAGCACCACATCATTCGGTGGTAAATCAGAATAGGCTCCAGTATTGAGGTTTGGAGCACGTGTGGTCGGCCTAAAGGTTAGCTACGACTTTCCTTCTCTATTATATTGAGCTTGAATACGTGAATGCATGTTGGTTGGAGTTAATTAGCTGTGGGTACCTAGTTATTTTTATTTCATGTCTTAGAAACTATGTTTTAGGCTCGATTCAACATTATCTCAAGGTTAGTACCATGCTAGTTGGGGTATGTGTTTGGTCTTATGTTGTGCATTGACTTGTATGATGTTGTTACTGTATAATTTAGCATGTTTGTCCTAAGTCTAGGCATGACTACCACTTGCCATAGAATCATGATATTTATAGCTTTGATGACCTATTTCTCCTCTAATGCCGTTACAGATAGCTTAACTCTTTGTAGATTGGAATAGCAGACTAAAATCTAATAGTATGAGCCATAGTTTAGGCGGTGTTTTAAATATATTGATCTATTGTTCTCTCTCTCGCTGTGTTACCGGCGATTTTCTATTTTCACGGGTGATTTAGGATTAGAGTGATTTATACTTGGAACCTTCTGATGATTCCCTGTGAGTAGACGTCATTCCACGGTGGCATGGTATTGACATTTGAGATCCTCTTTGGAGTTGACACGACCTTGAGTCACTCTTACTTGATGGGCGGCTTACTCCCATGGGAGTGGACTGGCTGGCTGGGCTTCCATGACCGGGTCACTCTTTCTAGCTGGGCTGGGAGTAGACTAGTTGGTTGGCCGGCCTATATTGATTTCTCACTCTTGCTAGCTAGACTGGGAGTTGACTTGACTATTGAGTATTGTGGTTACTTGGGCTAGTAGCCCGACTCTCGCTTCTTGGGTTCAGATTCATGATACTTTTCTCTCAAGATACTTAGTTATTTTATGTACCTATCAAGCTTAATGGGGTCCGTTCGTATTTTATTTAAACTTGTCCACGAGTGTACCTACCAAGCTTATAGGGGTCCAATTAGGTTTAGTTTAGTTGTACTTAGATTTACTTTTGATATGCTTGTGTGCTTTCTTTTATATCCACTTTGACCTCTGTTTGTGTCTAGATTCTATCTTTTCATATTTGTCTTTACCTTTCTTACTTAGACAATCTATGGTGCCTACTAAGTACCTTTATTTATGTACTTATGTTGCACTCTGCATCTGTTTCGTGATGCAGGTCTTAGTACCATCTACCATCGGTGATTATTTGTGCCATCTGCACCTTTTTGGGATCGGAGACGAGGGTGAGCACTTGACATCCTGGACTTGCTAGTCTCCTTTGTACATTGTACTGTAGCTAGTCTTTTTCTTTTTGAGATAGCTTTGCTTTTGGTCCACTTTTAGGACTTGTACTCTCACTTTAGACAACTCTGTATTCATGACTTCCAGGTTCTGGGTGGGATCTTTTGTATATAGTTTTGGTTTGCTTCTGCTTGTGTCTTGTGTTGTCGTTAGCGTATTATTTTTGTTAGTTCTACCCTTATGCTCACTACTTGTTATTCTGGGTTACGGGTTGACTTACCTACTTGTGGCTTATAGTAGGTATCATCATGACTCGAGGAATCGGGTCGTGACATAATACCCTTACTATGATGCTTTAGTAAACGAAGTGTAACTAATTATGGATTAATAATGAACCAGAGAGGAATCTGAATGAAGAAGACAACAAATATTTGACTATTATACTTACTAATTTTCTGGATAATCACATATGTGTGTCAATCTTTAAAGTGAATTTTTGAATTGAATTGGAGTGAAGTGATGTATCTTGATAATTCTTATGGCCAAGTGAAATCAGAATGATTACGTGATTACTGTTAAGCTTATAAAGTTGATTATGAAATTTGAATTCTCATGTGACAACCCATGTATGAAATTACACCAGTAAAAGCTACTCGGGGTTTCAACCTTCTATTTTAGCCATTGGTTAATGTTATTTCTTTAGATATAAGGATACTTTATTTTAATTCATATTCCTGGAGTATGACCATTAATATGCACATAGATTAAATGAAAATTTAGGTGGGGCATTCACAATCTTTCTCCTTTAATTTATGTCTTAATGCGTGATAAATTAAGGCTTAACTTTAAATTTGAAAGTTTGAGATATTGAGACTTTACCCCCGACTAGTTTAATTGATATCATTAATTAATATTTTTAGGTAGATTGAGGCCATATGAGGTTGTTTGGTTGGTGTTATATTTGTTGCAAGGTTGGGGAACTTATCATTAACAAGGTAAGCGAGACTTTAAGCTTTAGTTCTTGCTTTTCAAGACAACTTTGAAAATATGTTTTATTTGTTGGCCCATCTGTTGGAATAAGCATGTGCTGAAAGAGTTTTGATTGAATTGATAATTTATCAATGATACATTCAATAGTTAAATACTAAGATAGGAGAAAGACTTAGAGTCCTAATAGAATTAAAAGAGTACTTAACTCTATATACAATAACTAACTACAAATATTTAAAATCTGTCCATCCCTATCTAGGATTAGTAGATATCCTAACATCACCCCGCAAGCGAAACTATGTAGTAACAATGAGCTTGTCTCGAAGGAACAAAAACCGTCGGGCTGGTAGACTTTTGTTAAGGTATCAGCTCTAAAGTAATCAAATTTCAAAATTACAGGGGGGCAATGAAACCACGGTAACCCAGACAATATCATCAAGTTGTCCACAAATATAATACAGATAAAAAATCTCAAAAAAAATCATATTGTTCTAAAATAATCACATTTCAAAATCACAAAGAACCTTGACACTACAGTATCCTAGAGGATCACCTTAAGCTATCCACGAAGACAATATAGATTAAAAAAACCTCTAAATAGAAATTCAACTGCGCTATAAAATAATCAAATTTTAAAATCATAGAGAGTGATGGCACTACGGTATCCTAGAAGATCACGCTAAGCTATCCACGAAGACAACACATATAAACAACTTCAAAAAAGGATGTCTATACAGTATCCTAGACGATCAAGTTAAGTTATCCACAAATACCATAAAAGTCCTCAGATTAATTCTTAAATAATCAAATTTCAAAATCACAAAAATCATGGCACCACAGTACTCCAAAAGATCACATTATTCTATCTACGAAGATAATAAAAATAATTGAAATTTCTATAAAATAGTCAAATTTCAAAATCACAAAGTGCGTGAAACTACAATATCTTAGATGATGATGTAAAAATACACAAAGAGAAAAAAAAATTACTCTGAGACTTGCATCTAAAGAACTGTTGATGAGTTCATGGAGAAAGATCTCCTTGTAGCTGTAGAAAAGTGTCGATAATAGGACTGAGAAGCTGATTGATCTCAGCTTGGAAAGCAAATGTCGTTGTGTCCGCCATTTTTGGTAGATCTTAAGAGTTGTTGCTACTACGAAAAAGAATCTTAGGGGAAGTGAAACACAGAGGGACTCAAAATCTAGAGAGGGTTTATGGGCAGTTTTATGTAACTTTATATTGAGAGCAACTTACTTGAAATGCTTTCCAAACCATTTCAACATGTCTTGTTATAGCCTCATCAGCTAATTTTACACTATTCACATGTAACCCTTAAAATTTGATAAGTGTCTGTGAAGTTACATGCGAACACCATGTAATACACTCATTTTTCTACTCACAAAGACTGAAAAAATTGATTCAAGTTGCACCTATTTTCAATACAAATGAAAGTTAGAAAGAAGAAAAGATTTCAAGGACACAAGCAAATAATCCGTTGAAAAATACATATTTTTGAGAAATTATGAATAAGAATCTTGCCAAACTTCATACTCCAAGCAAAGAGTGTTGCCTATCTTTATTATCTGAAACCAAAGAAAAAAATCATGTTAGATTGGCAATGAGTGCTGGAAAAAAAAGGCATATTAAAATTGAAATTGTTTATCGACCCTATTCTGACACCTCTGTAGAAATCTAAGTTGTACAAACACTTCACTTTTGATGTCGCACCCATGTCAGATTCTCCAAATATACACTACTTTTGGAGAATTCGACATGCACCCATTGATATTTTTGAAGAGTCCGAACAATATAGGTGAACACTGAATGAAAAGATCAGTCTCACGAAAAATGACTCACTCATCTAGCACACCTAAAGATTAAAAGTAATCAAGTAGTTCATCGAAGAGAAGAGCAAGATACAAATCAATTTAGGGTCCAACTGTTTGAGTCATCAATAAATTATGCCCATAAAGCTTGAATCTAAAGTAGCTCAAAATGTAAATATTTTAATCAAACATTAAAAAAAGATAGTTAATTGGCTAGAAGATTGGATATAATACATTAAGGTTAATTACTTGTATTTAATAAGGGGAGTTTAATGAATCAAATGTGCCACAATCTCAAATTAGTTGCAGTATCTTCTATATTCACATTCACTTTATCATAGATAAAACTATGAAAGATGGAAACTTTGAGGCAACAATACCTTTTTGAATGAAGATCGTGTCTCCTTCTTTTACTCATTTTATTGTTCTTTTTCTTTAAGCTTCTCCGGTGAATCCTCGACTCCCATCCTCCTTTAGCCTTCTTTTGTACATGTTAGATAATTTTTCGTACAATTTGCTGAAGTCAGAGTCTAAATGATTATATGTATGTTGAAAATGTGAATACTGAACTGAAATGCTATAGATGAAAGAGTGATTTTACTTGATACAAACTTTTTAAGCCCTCTCGCAATGTGATTCATTCCAACCTTATAACCCAAGAAAGAAGTCAACTTGCAGGGTTTGGTTGTATCATAGATGACGGATAAGGGAAAACTCAAAATATTTACTAAAGAGTAAAAGGTGCAGAAGTTGTAGAGAAGCTAAATTGCCAAACAAAAAAGTAGAAGGTTGCAAATGGTAAATTTTGCATTTATGCAGCTTCTGGTAACTATAAGATCTTGGAACATATTAGAGAACATACATATGTTAAAATGTGATAAATTCAAGAATGGAATCCTACTCTAGCTTATTGTCTTCGTTAATATTGTCTCGTATGAGTACAAAGAAACTTATGCTATCAAATATTTTCTGGTCTATAGGTTAACCCTCGATTTACGTGCTTAATGACCTTTATTGATTCAGAAATGGAGAAAGAATGAGAGAACATACATAGGTTAAAATGTGATAAATTCAAGAACGGAATCCTACGCTAGCTTATTGTCTTCTTTAATATTGTCTCGTATGAGTACAAAGAAACTTATGCTATCAAATATTTTCTGGTCTATAGGTTAACCCTCGATTTACGTGCTTAATGACCTTTATTGATTCAGAAATGGAGAAAGAATGTGCAATTCACTCATCAATGTTCTCTTTGTATACGAATCCTTGGCAACAATTGTTTGGCATATGGAGGATGCAAGAAAGCTACCCTTATGATTCATTACCCTTTAATACTATCTCAAGAATTAAAACAGATTCATATAATCAAAGATCAATTCAATCAAAATAATGTACACTTAATAAATCAATAACAGACACAAAGATAGACAATCATCAATCACGTAATCACTCGAAGGGTCTAATAAGGCCGCAATTAAAAGATGGAAGTATTTCATGAATCAAATTTGACGAATTTTACTCCAAAAGATAGATTTCATATCTTCCGTCAAAGTCGAAGGCTTAAAAGATTTTGAAAAAATCTCACCTTTGAAGCATGATCAAAATTCAGGTTCAAATCTTTAAAAAAATAGTCTTTTCAGATTTTGAAAATCTAAATAGCAGAGGCAGTTCTATGGGGCTTAATAATACCACTTACTTTTGTGGGAGTTTTGATTTGCGTCTTCCAAATATAGTAGCTACCTACATATAAATTTCATAAACATTATTCATTTTCATCAATTGTAATACATAGTGACAATGAACTCGAAGTTCTATTGAACATTTGTTGAACGGTAAGTAATCATTATGAGCAGTTCGAGTACTTCTCGAGATGAACAAACTTTGTTTCAATATAAGTAGTCATCGGGCTCTTAAAAAATTGTATAGTTCCACCGTTCATATGGTTGTTTTTTGTATTTCATTCCTCGTCACTCAAACAGCTTGAGAGTAAAGATACTAAACAACAGTATGTAATCAATGGTGAGAATTCCATAACAAGTTTGTTTTGGGGATTTCAGGCAATATTTTCAGATTGAACTTTCTAATTTAGTATCTGAAATTGTCATTATTAATTCTTTATTTTGTAAATTCTAACTCATCTAGAGTTATCAAAAGCAAATTGAAAGATATTTCAAATGAAATCAATTTTGTCAATAATTTTTTAACTTTAAGTATTCTGATTATAACCACTAAGCAATTTTTGCACATTACAGAGGTATGAACCGATATATGTTATAGCATGATCACTTTCTTTATGAAATAACATAAGCACATTACGGCCACTTCAATGATGTCTACAAGTGAAACTCTGCTTAACATGATATTGGAACCTTAATACATAACAACGCCACAAAGTAGGAATGAGCTTCTAAGCAACTATTTTCCCTACAATGCTAGGGTTAGCACCTAGCAGTCAATGATTTGCAGTGAATTACAACATAAATTTAGTGTGTCCAACTTTTAGAATTTTCCAAACAAAATATGAGCAAAAATTAACGAAACACTCACATCCAGTAACCTTGAACAAACACTTCACAATTTGGAGTCTCCTGACAAATACAAAATTCAAGAAACTTTAAATGATAATTAAGAGACATGCATGAAAATTGATGAGCAAACACTGCGATAAATCAATAAGAGAAGTAGTAAATTAGCGGAACAAAATAAGGTACGGGACTCCTGCACATTACTTAGTTAAATCTCCCAATATAATTTTTTTTAGAAAAATAAAGTAACGAAAAAGGGAAAAATACAAAGAGCTCTTCGACCAACCTTTTTCAGGGACCAATTTGGAGCGAAGGAATGCATCAATTTTGCAGAGTGAAATGGAAGGAAGAGAAGCCATAAGAAATTTGGGGACTCTAAAGTGAAAAACTAATGTCTCTCACAAAGATAAAAATAAATAAATATGGTATTACGTGTCTGCCAGAAAAAGGAAAATTGGAGGGCATTCAACTTAAATACATACACGTGGACTTAAAGGAAGAAAATGAAGAGATAAAATGAACCTAAGTTTATGGTACAATATTTGTTTCTTTTAGTACAACTATTTAATGTTGTGTTAGTCCTTTTGCTTGTTCACTTATATATAAGGGTAATAATATTGTCATGGTTTAATATGGACATATTCATTTCTTCCATAAAAAAATATTACTTAATACTTTATGATACCCATATGATTTATATCATATACTGACATGGTATCATTGAAAATGTAACAACCCAGAGATTTTTTGAGCTAAAACTCAAATCATCCTTCGTGTGAGTATGATTTTACCGAGGAATTTAAAATTTCTTAAGTGTTAAGGTCACTAGATGTAGCACATTGAGTTCCAAAAAGAAGTAAATTGGAAATAGCAAAATCTGAAATTTTGTAAAGTCAAGCTAAGTATGAGTTTTGGGTTGACTTCAAACGACCATAACTCCTATATTAAGATGAGTTAGGTGTTCTACCAGATACCGTAGGAAAGATATTTGAATTATCTTTCCAACGCCGCCGAGTTTGCTAAGTTTTGAGTTCGGGCGAGTGAGATATACCCTTTTGAAGTCAGGTTGTCCAGTTAAGGAAAGTTACCCGAAAATAGCAAGGGGTATTTTGGTCTTTTCCTTACCCAATCAGATTTAATTCGTTTTCAGTAATATTTTTGGGGTATAATCTGATTAGGTTCAGTTTTATAATCCTAGTT